ATCACTAAAACACAGGGATATGAATATTAACCTCATAACAGATGGGGCAGTGGTTCTTCATAGAATTTTCAACGCATAAGTGATTATCACGCAGATTCACTGAATAGCAAGATCCTGCATTTATAGAAATATCTAGTTAGAAGTTTCATAGCCTTGAGGTTTTAGCGCAGATAAAGAAACATAACTGATGACTGGAGAAGAGTATATGAATGGGCCAACTGCACAACACCCCCCCCCCTCTTTTCATGTCTCCTTAAAAAGCCCAGGAGGGAGAGAGAAATAAGCACTCAATTAAGTGAAAAGTAAAGAAAACGGGTAACGTCAACTCAAAATGATCATCATGACCACTAAGCATTTCAAATTCAAGTGGAAAGGCTTCAAGCCATGTCCGAAAGTAAAACAAAATTCGCTATGGCTATGCTTAAAGATAGTTTCCGCAAAATGTTAAAAATTGTACTCCCAGAGAATAGCATTAACATTTGACTCTCTTAACTATTGAACCAATAACATTAAAATGGCTCTTGCTTTCCTGCCACCCTCTGGCCTTCTCCCACTCCCACATGGTCTAAAGGCCGCCACCATCAACAGCATCAGGTTAAATACTTCCTTCCAAATTCAGCATTATCAAGTCACTCATGGGCGTGGGCTGCTTGAACCAGCTCAGTTCAATCACACAGATTCATAATTTACTGATTTCGATTAACGACATTGATTAAAATTCTACAACTTTCTCAATCTGTAAACCACAATTTTTTAGATCCTTCTATATGAAGTACCACTCTCTTTCCACCCACCCCCAACCCATAATGAAGTCCCAGCCACATCATGATTCCTCTGTCTCAGCTGTATACCATCCAAGCTGATTTTGTCTCTCTGCTAAAGTTATCTAGGGTAATGCATTGAAAAACAATTCTGCCACAGGGATCACATACCAAGTTAATCACTATCTAACTATGGAAAATGTGTTATATCATCCATATGGGTACATTAGATTTGACTGTTGGGCACGTGTCACAACACAGCAGAAAGATAAAGAATGAAAAGTGACAGGTTTACATATAAGAAACAACATAAGGAAAATGGCGGTGCAAATGGAATTTTTTCCATTCCCAAGAGGACAGATGTTGGTTGAATTATATGATTATATCTTGACACAACAATAAAATAATTCTCTTTCAGTGGTCTGATTTGAAGAGAAACAGAACCACAACTGCTACAACATCCTAAGACATATATTGAAGGCAAGATAAAAACATTTTTATAGGCGTAAGCAATACATCATGTGAAACAAAACCATTAAGTAGGGCTGCATACCACACTTCTGGCAGTGATCAAAGTTCTCTCGACCACCAACTCTGTATAATCACAATTGGTATCAAAACAAAATCATGGGATAGAGAACGTGAGAAATCATTTTTAATACCATAACTGGAACAAATAGAAAATTAAAAAGCAACAATATCTAGCTCACGAACCTACAAATCCCACAATTATCACAATGAAACTGCTTCTTCTTTGTCTGTAATTGTGAACATGCAATAGATCATATCACATACAAAGAAAATAAATTAAACAATTAAGTACAAAATTCCTAGTAAACAGAAATTAGTAGCATTACATCATCATCGTAGAACTTGCAAGTCTTGCAGAAATATTCCCCCATTTTGACACCGCATTTTGAACAGACATGAGCAGCCTAGAAACAGAGAAAGGAAAATTTCATTTAGAAATGAACTTTTTGAGATGTTAAAAACAATTCCAAAAAAAATTTTGAAAACGAGTAAATGTAGTTGAGTAAGTCTACAATTTCACAAAAATCTAACCTGCTGCTCAGTATCACAAACTGCACAAATAACCTGGAACCATCGATCCAAATCCAGAGTTTCATAGAATAAAACCCAGAACATTAATATCAACAAGTAAGATAGCAAGACAAACAAACTGAAAAAATAGATATGAAATGGGGATACACAACAACATAGAGTAAAGATAGTAATCAGTAAAGATTACTAAAGAGAGATGAAAAGAAGTTATTATATCATACTTGCTTGACATCTTGGCGCACAAGTTCGTGGGGGTTACTCAGAGCGCTCTGAATCAAACAAAGAACACATAGAGAAACCTCAGGTAAGAAAAATTCCCAATATCAAAAATGTGTGTGTGTGTGTGAGAGAGAGAGAGAGAGAGAGAGAGAGAGACCGTGGCCTCGTTGTGACAATGGCGGCAGGTAAAAATCTGATTGCAGCATGGGGCTAGGAGTTTACACCGTCTACGGTAATGTTCGCATCTATATCAAAATAAACAATAAATTAAGAATAAACAACAGAAAGAAATTTGGTGAAGGGTTAGGTTTTCTTTGTTTTTCCCCTTTTGTCAGGAAGATGAAAAATGGAAGGAAAACACACACACACACGGAAGCGACAACGCAGAGCACTAGCGTTAGGGTTGGAAATCAAAGCATACCCATAAAGCATCTTCCCAAAATCTTCCCTGGGTGTATCAACAACTTCTAGGGTTTCTTGATTAACAGCAGTTTTACCTTCTTCCATTGATGACTGTTTGGCAGCTTTGTTCAGGGTTAAAGATTATCAATCAGAGCGAAAACGAAAATGTATGTGGCGACCGATAAACAATAAGGGAAAAAAAATGGTGAGATCTCTGATTGGGGAAGATTAGGGGTTAGGGTGTTCGGGACCCCTCAGCCCTCGAAGAGTTGCAGGGGTATGGCGGTTGAAACAAAAATTCGGCAAAGTTCTGGGGCCCAAATGAAAAAAGAGGCGGACTCAGGGAACCAATCACGTTCATCATCGAGTTGCTATTTATTTAGGATATTATTGTTTCCCATGCCGCTATTCTCTGTTTGGCTAACCGCTTAACAATATTTTTTTTATTCTTATTTGATTATTTTCGTAAGTAAACTCAACTAAATTCAATTTAATAAAGTCGTAATTTCAATTTTTTAAAATTTTATGTGTAACTTGCCGACTTCTAATTTTCCTTCTTTGAAATTAATATATGGATTTCTCATATATCTTTTCTAACTTGTGTAGAGTAAATTGTTTTAACGCCAACAACATAATTTTTTTTTTTTTTAATCAAAAGTGAGTAAAATTTCAAGTAGAAAAGTGATAATTATAATCAGCAGTAAGGAAAGCTTTGAACTGGTTGGGAGAGACAACTGACCCAGTTCGCAGCAAGCGAATCAGTCATCGCAGCTGCTGCCATCCAATAAGTAGCTCTATTGAAGAGAAAATATTCATTACAACGGTGATATCATGTGACAAGGTGATGTGGTATCACCAACTAATAATAATAAAACAAATAAACAGATGGACTCCACAAAAATCAATAACTAACATGTAAGCAAATAATTCACCACTCTTCTGTCATGTAAGTCTAAGTGGGGTTCACCTTTTCAATTTAGGGTTATATTATTGGTTGGTGATACCATGTCATTAATGATGGCATGGTATCACCGTTGCATTCATTCAATATTTAGGGTTCTTGGCTTGCCTAAAAAACTAAGTTGGAGATGATTGGCAAAAAATCTGATATCGGCCACTAGAGCACTGATCTCCCAAGGGGAGTCATCTTCAGCTGAGGACAGTTTAATAATCACTTGACAATCACTCTCAACTCTTGAATGCTTTATCTGTGCTGCACTTGCTACCAGACATGCTTCTCTCACCGCAATAGCTTCTGCTTGAAGGCTTGAAGATGCCAGGACCTTTGTACAGATCCCGTCCCTTACAAGAACCCCGATAGCAGCCTTGCCTTTTTATAAGCCCATCACAACTGAGAATAAAGTCTTGCCTCCAACAGCTAGGGGGGATCACAAACTCAGCTGGGGCAAATGAGATTTTCACTCCTCTTTGTCCAGCTGCAAAAATATCGCTCCATAAGTTCCTTGCAATCAGCAGTATAGCGAATGCATTTGGCGGCTCTTGATTAAAAACCGCCTGATTCCGCCCTTTCCAGATTGCCCACGCAATAGTCGCAATATTCCCCATGACCTCCAAAGAACGGGATGTATCACTGATAGTTTCTGAAATTGCGAAGACCCATTGCATAGCAGAAGAAAAAGAATCCTCAACAAAACGAAACCAAAAACGGAGCCAAACCAAACCTTCTTTGTCCATTCACAACCAAACAAACACATGCTCAATGGTTTCGACAGTAGATCTGACACCAAGGTGAGTTGCCACAATTTCTGCTAAACAAATTTTCACGGGTGGCCAAGACGACGCTGCAAACTTGCCACCAAAAAAATGCCTTATTTTAGGGAGAGTCTTCATATGCCAAATGACATGCCATAACATCGGATGAGGAGAGAAGGAGGGCCCAGCATCCACATTACTTGACAATTTGAGACAAGTAGCCGGGGAGTACCCTGATTTAACAGTATAGATACCTACAACATAAATTCAATTTTAACCTATTGGTCATAGGTAATTGAAAGGTCGCTCTCTAATTACTAGATTAAGATGCTATAATAATTTTATAACACCTAGCAAAACTATAATAAACAAATAAAATAGTCTTATATTCGGATTTAACAATACGATACTATAATAAAAAAAGTTGTAATGTAAACTTACAATGGTTCAGGATTGTATGGACCATGCTAAAGGCTACCACAAGGCTACTAATACTGAATTTACTTGGCGAGCATACGAAAAAAACAGTTTTGTTTTTATTTTGTTTTCCTCTAGTTGATATGATCTATAGAACAACTTGGCCTGGATCAACCTGAATTCATTCTGAAAAAAATAAAATAAAAAAGAAACACCATGCACGCATACACCCAACCCTGCATACACGCAACCCTACAACACAGAAGGGGAGATATCAGTCAAGGTAGACATTTTAGTTTCAATTAAGATATCATTATTATTTTCAATTAGCGAAAACCTATTACATTATTTCTGAGAACACCAACAACAAAAAGGAAGGTCAAAATGAGCCTGTCCGGAGAACAGCCACAGAGAATGCCTCTTATTCTACAGTATAGTACAAGAGCACCAATTGTTCTTTCGCATCTCATCCTGATCCTTGTCTGCATGATGACCAAAAGCACGAAACAAAAAATAGAGAGCAAAATGTTAAGATCCTAGGTTTACACCGAAAGAAAAAACAAGAGAATGATAGATCCATTGGTTCTAGCTATAAACAATGCCATACATTTTTTTTCGTTTTCACACGAACAACCGATAATATTTCTAAGCCATCGACAAAGCTACCCAATGTCCCAGATTGTTGGAAACTATTAACTAGGCAGTTATTAAGCTAAATCTATTCCTTCTGTCCACTCTAGAGTCTAGAGTCTCACAAAGACATTATCTTTGACAACTTTTGATGTTATAAGTATCTACCACAATCTGTGTCCATTGTATTCGTGTTGAATGTCCTAAGTAGCGAAAGTGGGCCACGACAATCAAATGCACAACCAATTTCCTAGAGCAACATTTTCCACGCTCTTGACTGATGTGTGCAACATAGCATGCAATATAGTCACCAATATTATGGCATTTCCTCTCTTTCCCATATGGAGTTGGTTTTTATGGGATGGTGGGAAGAATGGCCCTACAGCACCATCCAGTAAAGATTCATCAACAGTTTAAAAAGGACAGTAGCCACATTCTCAAATCTAAGGAGATGAAACAAATCACAGGTTCAGTTCACTTATTCACCGTATGTAGGATGAAGAACTAAACAAACCTGTCTTTTTATTAGCAACAGGAGGCTGTACCACCACATGCATTGTAATTACGCCTCCAGGATCGTCACCAACATGCACTCTGGACTCAGCAAGTGTCGTGCTATTTTCCAAAAACTTTCCAGCGTGTATAAGCTTCAAATCACTTACAATCTTAGGCATAACGGACTTATCTGCAAATGAAAGGCTTCATTACAAACTCTACCAAAGATATTGCACATATCAAATAATATAGAAATAGACGTATATGACTACAGAATCTATATACATAGCTAAACCAATTGATGAGGACAGCCGATGAATTGTCCTTTGACAAGATTGTAATGTGGGGGAAAACATGCTTTTAATTCACAATAAAAGAAGGAACTTGTTTGGTTTGGGGGAAGGAAGGGAAAGTTTTTAATTTCCTTTCTTTCCCTAGTTTGGTTCCCACTTCAAGTTTGGAGGGAGGAAAAATATTTTCCTTCTTTTGCACCCACCAAAAAAGAAACCAAACATGCTGTAAGTTGCAACAAAGAAACAAGGTTCATAGCTCCAGGTACCTATCTACATTTCAGGGGCCAGGAGTAATCCAATTCTTCAAGGACTGAAAGCCAATGCTGCTTACTTTTGGCTTTCACAACTTGCAAACAGTACGTGAACATAACCCTAGTTGAATATAAAAAAACCCAACTTGGGGAGAATAAGGAAGAAGAGAAAAGGAAAAAGGGGGGGGAAGCAAGGCATCCACCCAAATCACAAATAAACGACCACTAGTTCAAATGTCCCCACGTTTACTTCGTTACCTCCCATAACAAAATGTAGAACATACACAATACTATAAATTGACTGTAATTCCAAACAACCAGAATCTAACGCCACTAGTCATCCTAAATCTCTACAATTAGTAAAAAAACCACTGTTTTGGTGAGTAATTAGACCAATCTCAACCAATTCGCAAAAACACAAACCTTTTCATCCGTTGCAGCTAATATACTTTCTAGTCCATTGAGGGAACGTGTATTTAACTCTAATTAATTACAAAAAACTCCTGTTCATCTACCAGGCTTCAATATATTTACTCGCTGAGTGGGCTATGGCGCCTAAAATCAAGCAGGCTTTCATGCGTAAATCTCTACAAATCAACTGCTGTTACGCCAACTAAGGAATTTTGTTACAAGCAAGATACTTGCAGTACATGTCAAAACTTTGGAAACAGCTTTCTGCTCAACTTTGTCAAAGATCTTTTGAAATTTGCTTGATTTTCTTTAATATTCTTCCAACAAATTCTCCCGTTACTGGAGTTATGAAAGCAATCAACTGGAATAATGAAAGGAAACAAATGTTTGCGTGAAAAATAAGAAATTTAAGCATTCCCTAAATAAGTATCAGGGGAAATAAACAGATCCACAATTCCTTTTGTCATAAAAGATAAAAGCTCAAAGTTCAGAAGCTATAAATCTATTTCTAAACTTTTCTTTATAAAAGAGAAAAATGTAATGCTGAAAACACCTGCTAATAAATAAGTGGTGTGCTCAGGTCCAATCACAACTTAAACAAAGGATCTTTTCCAAGGTTAAAATCTCAGATAAAGGGTTTTAAAAGTCAAATTTTCAACTGTTCAACTATAGCTTTATGTTTTCCCTTAGAATGATCCCCGCCTATTTGCAATATTCCCCATTACAAGTTGGTTGGGCATTTCAAAACATCAATCTTCTAATTGTTTTGCCTCATATATAGGATACTATATATGTGTCTGAATTGACTGGCAAATCAAATGCCACTATTCCTATAATACCATATCATATTGAGTCCTACCATTCACTCTGATACCAATATAATTATCCATACAAATAAAAAGAGGCAGTGTTTTTTGTATAACAGTTGAGATGAGGACAATACTAGCATATGTTCTATAATGTACTTCAACCAAATTGCTGGCCCTGAAAACTATCTTATCATATTACTACCGGGTTTATTTGTTGTGCTAATAGTTTCCACCCCTCCCTGTATTTGCCGACAACAGCAGCCAGTCTGCACTATTTCTTTTCTTTTTTTGTCATCAAAGGCCTCATTTTCTCAATTGTGTTTGATTTATTTAACAAGGCAATTCAATAAATTCCCACAAAAATGCCACTCAAATAAGTTACGGGAAATGAAAACCAAAAAAATATGGAATTACTTTTTATCTTAAATCTAAAATTTTCATCTATCCAAGCCACACAGGTATTGAAATCGCTGCTGTAGTATATGAACCAACATAAACCAATACTGGAAGCAGGACAACATATGTTAGAAACAAATTCTGAACTATAAAAGATATGGCGATCTGTGCATTTAACAAATAATAATATGAAAGCTATTTAAGCCAGTCACAGTGAATAGCCTCTGATATATACATATGTGTGTGGGTACATGAAAAGGCCAAAAAAATGGTTTGACAAGCCAACCTTGAGGCCACTCAGCAACAAGCCTTTGTTTAATAGTGGCAACAGTAGTAGATGATGCATACGTGCCATGACCTATATCTGTTCCATCATAGATTCTGAATTTAAGTTCAACATGCTCCTCCACTTCAGCCATAATAGTCCTTTCTCAACTCCACCAAGCTTGCAAATCCAATCCGGTCCAAAAAGGTCTACCCAATTCACCTGCCCAAGAACCCAGGGTTCAAAATCAAACCAAGATATACCCTTAATTTTGTATGGATGGAACAGATATAAATAAAGATTCAACATCATGTGTTTAATCTAACATTGAGTTCATAGTAGAAGAAACTATCTACTCAATGAAGTCTTGTTTCCAAGAACAGATTATTAGAAACTAAATAGCATAAGTTCCAAAAATTTGAAAAAATTTCCGTCCTATTTAACTTTTTCCGTAGCAATTAAACGTCAGTCAACGAAATCCAAATGCAAGAATTTCGAATATAAAAAATTTGAAGAATGATCCGGGTTCCAACCTTGGTCACTCCGCCAAAAAGTTCGTCACTTGCAAGAAGACGCAACAGCAGTACATTTGAATAACCGGTTATACAACCGCAAAAGCACTTCATATGATCCAACGGATTCCCCGGATGACCACCGTGACGTACCTCTCTGCAACACAATCCAGTGCCACAAAAATTAACAACTCTCAGATTCATAAAGATCATATCTCTCACTCTATTAACACTCGTACCAAAGAGAAGAAATCAGAATTATTAAAGACCAGATCAAGGTTATTTGGATTTGATCAATCTTAGTCGCTCACAATTCATAAGAAGAAGTAACCACACAATTCGATTCATAATACTATTTTCTTGAGTGGACCGTAAATTTTCTCGGAAACCAAACAGATGGAAATTCAAGAAAGAAAGAGAGCGAACGAAGCTAACATTACCTGATCAAGATGCCATTGAAGAAAGAACCTAAAAACTCTCAGAGAATCATATAGAGGGATTTAGGTCTGACTGTGTCGGCGTCCCGAACACGAGAGAGAGAGAGAGAGAGAGAGAGAGAGGTTGTCTTTGACGCATGGCCTGTCTGTTTGCTTCCAGGTCCTTTTCACCAGTGCAAGGCTTGCTATTGAAAAGTCATTTTTTGCTATTATTATTAAAATTATTATTATTATTTTTTTTTTTTTGGGTCAAAGGTTAAAGTTTATTAACTTAAATACACACTTTGATTAATTTCATCCTCGATTCGATCAGCTTAAATACATTTTTACTGGTTTTTTCTCTAATCTGTTATTCACATTAAAATTATAATCTCTTATAACTTAATGCTAAAAAATTATCAAAATTAAATTTAAATATATAAATTATTACTATTTCAACTACTTTTGTCGGGGTTGAGGTGGTAACCGGGGTTGCCGACGTTAATGTCTTGAGGGTTATATTCGTCTTTTTAATGCAAGATAACCAAACCGACCTAGAGATACGACAACTGCTATCCTGTTCCAAAAGTTGAAGTGTCCCTACCACGGTGGATATATTCAAGTGTGCCCACCAAAGTGTCCCCACAAAATTTAGATTAATAAGAGCATCTATAACCATAATTTAAATTTTTATTTAAATTTAAAATAATATTTGAATAAAAAATTTAATTTGATATAAAATACTTCAATGAATAAACTCAAATTTAAAAAAAGTAAAACTTAAATTTAAATGAGGGTAAACTCAAATTTAAAAAAGAATAAGAATAATTATTAGATTTTTAAAGATGATAAAATTTTATCATTAAAAATTTGAATCTCGTTTAATTTGAATAAAAAAATAAATTTTTCTTGATATAGTATAAATTTGAGTTAAAAGTTGGAATAAATTTTTAAATTTTTTTACTTAAATTTGAATCTAAATTTAAGTAAAGTTGGAGATTCCTGTTAGATCTGGTTTTGGTACCTCCGTTCCAAGATAGCCGGCTAATAGGAATCTATTAATGGAAGTAGTTATCATCTAACTAATTGGGTCGGGCTTCAAATAGCTCATGTTTGTCCATTTTGTCTTTTTCTAAATGAAAGGACTCTTTTAATTACGATGCGTTCTAATCTACTTTCTCACCTCCGCTTTCTTTGCATACAATTAACTCAACATTAGGGTTGTCCCTTGATCGAATTGAATATCTTTTTAATTTGAACTCTTGGAATTTAAATAAATTTGACAATAGATCACAAAATTTTGATGAATTTTTCTATCTAATGAATGAAAAGTCCGTTTTAAAATTGTCCACTCTGCACCCTTGTCATTCCTAGTATAGGTGATTATGTACAAATTGATTTGTACACCACTTGTTAAGTAAATAATATTAAATACAATAAATAAGTTGAGAGAGAAAAAAAAACAAGATATATAGTGGTTCGTTCAACTTGACTTACGTCTACTTTAAATAGTTAGGATCACCAGATATTTTATTTACTCAAGTGCATAAGAAGAGCTGAGAGTTACAAGTTTAAAAAGAGAGAGGAGAGTTGTACTCGACTGAGTGTGATACCTCTCAAGTGTTGCTGTGACTTACAATTTATAGTCACTCTCATAACAAATTATGACGAAATATTAGTAACTAGTTGACTAGTCTGTTGGATCTATCGACCTCCTCTCAACGGGCGAGGCGATTATAGTGTTCTCCATGAGATTCAGTCAAAGAATGATGTGAGTGTTGACTCTTTCAAGGTGGCGTGGAAGCTCTTAGATGACCCTACATGCTCCCCTGATGACGTAATTCCTTGAACTTAATGAGCTTAACCAAGCGTGAACCGTTTCAAGTTTGATTTTACTGGATCTCTTTGACGTTGGGCTTTTAATTTAAACTGGACTTACATCCTGAGTTAGGTCTTTGGGCTTGGCCCATCAATAGGAATTGCACAAGTTTTATCCCAAAACCAAGCACACTCTTAAAATTAAATTGTTGCATTATTAACTTTGTTATTCTCTCCAATTATGTAGGCTCCTCTTCCTCCAACTTTTTCAAACTGTAAAATAAGTTGACTTGAAGACATCTGAGAGTAAATCGTGCTTAGAGTTGAGAGTTGACCCCACAACAATTGGATTATCCATTCAAGTTTAGAAAGTGACATTCACTCACTTATAGTTGAACTTAGGTAATTTTAGGCTCTATTTTTGTCTTAGTACAACTTCCACCTATCAATTAAATTACTTACTTTTCTTAATTAACTTATATTCGGTTTTCAACAAAAAAAAAACATATTCCACCTGAAGTCTCAAAAAAAAAAATTGGGGGGGGGGGGGGGAGGGGAGCTAGGATTGAGTACAAAGCCCACAATAGTGCATTATATTTCTACCTAAATTTTGTTTCACTAGAATAATTTAGTTTCAATGAAAACAAAAATAAATCAGAAGCGAAAAATTAGAATTTCTCTGTATCAGAATATTTAAGACCTATTTTGGAATGTTTCTGTCACTTCACATATCTGTTAAGAAGTATTATCTCTCAGTACCACACAACTATTTACAAGAGACCCCACCGCATCTACGTAGAGACCAAAGCTAAAGTCTCACCTAGTGCTTTAGACGTTGAAGAATAGGTTTAGCGGTTTTAACCTTAACAAACTATCGTAACTATGAAAACTCGAATTCAAATATTGAACGAGAAAATTTGAGTCGTTACCAATTGACCGAACAGCTCGTTGGTAACTGTCCTGAGTTCAAGCTTGGCATATACTTGACCAATGTTTCCAGAAGCCAACAAAAAATAGAAAAAATATTAAGTAGATACAAACAAATTGGAAAAAGTAAAGAATATAATGCCTTTCTTTATGTGTGGTGTAAAGTTGAAGAATCATGGGCACCTCTTCCTACAAAGGTGGACAATTTTCTTTACCCCTTTTTTGAAAATTAGAAATGTAACAATAGTACAAAATCATTAAAGATGTTAAAGTATTCGATTAAAAAACAATTGACAATGATCTAAAAATATACTATTTCGGGAGATATTATTCTACCGACATGGAATAATTTTAAACAAAAATGCCAAAAGTATAGAATTTCTAGAGTGTATTGTGTGCGAGACACATAGTTTACCCGTCTGAAATTATTTTCTAATATATGAATAAAGTCAAAATTGCTTCATTTTTCCGTCCTACTAAGATTTTTTACTTTTATTGTGATGTTTATAATTGTGTGTTCATAGAGGTGAAACTCTATAAAAGTAGGAGATTTAAATCGAATCATGATGACTTGTATCTACCTTGGCAGGGAAATAATTGTGTAATATTGGTCCTTCTTATATGAACAATTATAAAAATTTGCCTCCCAAATGCTCGTATTAGAGAGGGGGATTAAGAGAGAAGAGAGCATAAGAGAGAACATCATATGACTAATGAATGACACAACATTAATCGCACTTTGCAATATTCTATTTTTTTGGGGACACTTATTTCATTGAAGTAGGGAAAAAGAAACAGTTCAATATACGAAACTATCACTATTACAGAGTCACGGATAGTTGGATATACACAACTTGTCCCAAATATGAATAGACCATTTCATTCATCTCATTACTCTTTTATGGCATTGAGCACATTAAGCTAAAGCAAATAGGCTAAAATTCATAATTAGACTTTTTAACTTAGGCAAATAGCTAAGCTACATGCTCAAACCTAATTCAAAACTACTAAGTATGCACTACATAGGACACAGCTACATAATACTATATCAGTGAAGAGAGCCCAAGCTTTATTCCTTCCCGTACTAATAATGCAGTAATAAGATTAAGATGACTGAGCCTGATACGGCCTCAGCAGTGGGACCAGGGACCCACTTAGGTGGAGGGACATGACTTCATTGGTAGACCCCATAAGCTTTCCACCAATGAAAACTGCTGGCACAGGTGATTGGCACCCCATCCCCAACAGAGCCTTCTCCATTTCTCTGCCCTCTGGATCTTGATCAATTTCATGAACCAAAGGGTGCACTCCAAGATCATTAAATAGGATGTTTACAGCATAGCACAAACAGCATGTGCTCTTGCTGAAAATCACTACACCATTCTCTGCAGCCATTTTAGATACTTTCTCCATCTGGGTATTTTTGAAAGTCGTCAAAAAACGAGCAATAGAATCCTACTTTAACCGATACGCAAATTCAA